CATTACTGAGTGATTGGATGTGTCTCAGCATCCTCACTGATTGAGTTTCAGGCAGTTGCATTTTTTCCATCTCAAAGCATGCATTAGGGTTTCTGGGGGAACGTAACCAGAGCCATTCTCCTATTGTATGGAATGCTCATGTGTGGCGGGACAAATTCACAGCCACACTTATTAAATCAAGTCCATCTTTTGCAGCTGACACGATTTCACATCGTGCAGGGACTGACAGGGCCCTTTGTCATGTAGTGAAATTCCATAACATGCTTGGAATGTCTCTGCAGGAATGCAGCCCGGGGCCTGGCAGAAACATGTTCAATCCCAGGAAAGCTGGCAGGAGGAGCCTGCAGGGCTCTTACCTATACTGCCTGCCTCTCTCTGCTGCTGGGGTGCACCCATCCATGATTGTTTCCTTCCTTGGAATAGTCTTGGTCTGGCTTTGAGTAGCCATGTATTCAGACAGAGATCAGACTCTGAGAACATGAAAAACCTACTTACAGAATAAGAGGGATTCCTTTCCTAGAGCTCAAGAACCCTACCTAGGATACACCTCTCCCTGTCATTCAGCCCTTCCAGGCCTAAGCCCCAACCTCATCAGTACCACCAGTAGCATCATTGGAGCATCATTAGAGTATGGAGGTCAAGAGCTCCATGCACTCAAGGACTGGACTCTGAACTTGCCTACAGGGCCCTATACAGGGCCCTGGATACAGTCGCTCTCCTCCTTTACCGACATGCATAGAAGTGATCAGGCCTGGTGAGCTTCCCACAGGCCCAGTGTCTGCTGGAGGGCAGAGGAGTGTGGCAGGCACCAACCTGGGCCCACAGGACCTTGCTCATGTAGAGCTTGGTGCTGCTGAGATCTTATGGCTCCCTTCCCTACCAAAGCACCTGTTTTCAGGCAGCACAAAGGGCCATTTTTGTAGTCAAATGAGATGTTCCAGAATGATGCCTGCAAGTTCTAAGAGGCAAACAGGCTCTCCGAGTGCTGTACTCCTATGTAAATTAGACCCCATATTCCCCTGCTCTGCTGTGAAATTACAGGATGGCATGTCACTCTCAATCTTTGTAGAGGTGGAGGAGCTTCTTCCTTACTCAGTCCTTTTGTCTGAAGCCTACAGATGACAGTAGTGACTGCTGATGCTGACTCTGACTCAGGCAAACCTAATCAATGAGATTGTCTCAGGTTTTAAGAATCACCAGCTGGCGGCCAGGGTCAGTCTCGCCCCAGAACCTAGAAGCCCAGACTATTTTCTGCAGGCCACAGGGATAAGGGTATGGGTCCTGTGTGTATTGGATAGTTTTATGTCAACTTGACACGAGCTAGAGTTATCTGGAAGGTGGGAACCTCTATTGGGAAAACACCTCCAAAAATTCCAGTTGTAGGGCGTTGGTTTTTTGTTTGTTTTGGTTTGGTTTTGGTTTTGGTTTTTCAAGATAGGGTTTCTCTGTGTAACTGCCCGTCCTGGAACTCACTCTGTAGACCAGGGTAGCCTCAAACTCACAGAGATCTGCCTGCCTCTGCCACTCCCCCACCCCCGGTGCTGGGAATAAAGGCGTGCACCACCATTGCCCAGTGGGCATTTTCTTAATTAGTGATTGATGGGGGAGGGCCCAGCCCATTGTGGGTTCTATAAGAAAGCATACTGGGTTAGGCAGGGGCAGGGGATGTGGCCTGCAGGCCTACTTCTCTATAGACTAACTATAGAAAGTAGGGGGACCCTTGGGGGCTGGAGAGATGACTCAGTGGTTAAGAGAACTGGCTGCTCTTCCAGAGGACCTGGGTTCAATTCCCAGCAACCACCTCCAGGGAATCTGACATTCTCACATAGACATATATGCAGGCAAAACACCAATGTACCTTAAATAGAAAAAAAACGTGAAAGTAGGGAACCCAAATGGGCCCTCCTAGGAAAGCCAGACCATAGGTTTGCTCAGGACAGTTGTGACTCAGTGGCTGTGTTAGGAGTGGTAAGAACATCCTGGCAGAATGTTGGGTCATAGATCCTCAAGGTTTCCTGATAGTTGGGCAGTAGTAGGCCAACAGGCAGAACCAGGTGAGGTTGCGGCCCCATGCAAGGTCTGAGTTGTCTATTGTATGATCCACATTCGGTGAGGTCAGAGGTGATACGGTGCCAAAGCGACAAAGGCCTGAAGAGCACTAGAATTGGAGGTCTCTGAGTGCTGGGGGGCAGGGGAGGGAAGCACTCCACATCTGGTCTTTATTGGCAAGGTTTGAGTCTTGATAACTCCAAGCTCAGATCACAAGAGTCCCACCTCCTTCTACGCCTCAACAAAGGTTCCATTGCCAGGTTCCCAATCCAGAGTGGCCCCTCATTCTTCCCTCCTACCTACCAGGGCTTGTGGGCATGAGCCTCTCATATTCGAGGTCTGCCCAGGTGAGGGGCCCAGGACAGAAGCACACCCCCATGATGCTACTGGGCTCTTACACTCCTGGTTTACAGAGCCAGGCAAGGCTGCTGGAAAGGACAGCTGTCCTGGAATCCTGGAAGGTAGGCTCTTTTGGTCAAGGGACTTAAGGATCTGGTATCCAAACTGCAGGAGGATGGCAGAGCCCTTTGACTGCCAGGGATGCTGAAGACATGGTGGGGACAGACCCGCCCACGGCTCCCACATTCTTCCCTAGAGAAGTAGTTAAAACTCTTAGAGAGATCAGGAGGTCTTCATGGGACAGAACTGAGAAGCCCTAGACAATGTCTTGAGGCAAGCTTCCAATACAGCACTTGCATGGTGAGGACAGCCAGGCCAGAAAAGACAAGACCTCATGGCCCCGAGAACATGATGTTGAGGGGCCTGGGGAGCTTCTCTGCCTGTGACAGCTGTCCTAACCACAATGCTTCTCCAGGATGCAGCTCAGTTGGTAGAGTGCTTGCCTATTATGCATAAAACACTGGGTTCCATTCGCAGCCCTACATAAACCAGTTGTGGCAGCATAGGCCTGCAATCCAGCACTCAGCAATGGGAGGCAGGAGGATCAGAAGTTCAAGGTCACTGGCAGCAACATCACAAGTTCAAGGCCAGCCTGGGCTACATTAGATCCTATTTCAAAAATAAACAAAAAATTTTAAAGCTCTCTCTGGTGTTTCCATATTCTGGAAACAGGAGAGCAGCTGCTCAGAGGCAAAGTTCCCAGGAGAATGACCTTAATCTCAGTAGTAAGGTTGGAGTCTGATGACTGCCTGTAGCCCAGGACTGTGGTGCTGGAAGAAATACAGAAAGCAGGCAAAGCAGGGTACAAGCAGACACTGGAGGTGTGGGTCACTTTGAGTTTGCACACTGATTCAGCTGCCTGTCGGGGTCTGGGAATCCTATTCTGTGGTCACTTAATTGCAGACAACCTTGGAGTTTCTTAGTGGGCAGTGGGTGAGAGAATGGACCTTCCTTCTTTTCTGGAGGAGGCAGCAAAAGCCTTTGGTTGAAGGGAGAAAGGTGTCCATGACACCCTTGGCTGAGGTTCTCCATGAGGCCAGACAGAGCATCCTGGGCCTTGAGGTAATCAGCGTGAGTGGCCCTGGTGTTCAACTGTCGGCTCTCATATCCTCTCTGGGAGGAAATACTGGGCGGATGGGTGCTCCACACCAGCCAGATCTTGGTTATATTTTTAAGTCAGCTTTGGCTGTTGTACAAACATGCTTCGTCGTCGATTCACAGGCCCTGACTCAGAGCAGCGCGGGACACATCTCCCGCTGCAAGAGGCTCTGTCCTAGTGCCGCCTTTGAGGGGCATCAGTGACTTGTCAGTTCGCCAACACTTCACCAGCCCCCAGCGTTCCTGGCTCATCCTACACCCACCGTGTCTCCGTGAGCAATCCCACTGCAGGAGCGCCAGCAGGCAGCCTCAGCTCTGGTAGGCCACAGGCTCTCCTTCCATTTCTACATCTCCTCTGGTAGCCTCACTGTTGGGTCAGTCTGCTCTAGGCATTTCATGTGAGCCTCACACTGAAGCAGTGCCCTCAGAACACTCCTGAGCTCCTGCCTTCTGCATGGGGCAGAAGACTGTCAAGGCTGCAGACGCTGAGAGATCTGACTGGCCATGTGTAGGCACACTTCACCTGTCCCTTACGCTCTCTCCTGGCCATCTCAGGGGTAATGCTCTCCTGTCCACATGCTTTCCTGTCCTTTGCCTGCCCTACTTGCCAGTCTCTCAAGAATTGCCAGGACTTCCTGATCCGATTAGGTCCAGTGAAGGCCCACACCGACATGTTCCACTAGCTGAGCACCTGGCATGTGGGTGCTAGCTGCTCTGCAAGGTACCTACCATGTCTCCTTGTCTCATAGCTGCTAAAGGGTGGGGACAGAACTGGCTGCCACATCCTCCTGAGTCAGCAGACATGCTGTCTCGTTACCTCCCACTGTGACAAGCAGCCTTCTGATTTGTAAGACAGAAATCCAGATTTGATTTAGGAGAGCCATTGCTGAATGGTAAATCCCCGTGCCTCAGTTTCCTCTCCTGTGAAATGGGGCTAGTTATACAGCACTTGAATGAGTGTGCCCACGCACAACCTGGCACTGAGTGTTGAGAAAACATGTCCATTCTATGAGTGCTCCACTCTCACCAGTTATCCCTACCCAACGTGGAACTTCTCAGGTGTATCCATTTTTGATTGCTATCTACCTCTGAGGGGCCCATAGTGTTGGGCTACCACTGCTACCAGGCCTCCTGGGGCTCCACCTGGTGTTGGGGTGCAGGGTTTGCAGTGAGAGAGCAGAATCAGGCAGACTGCTCACCTTGGGCCTTACTGGGTAAGCAGTGGTCATCAGCCACCGAGACATAGATGCTGTGCTCAGTGGCTCATTCTCTGCAAGACAGACACTGAGCAAGTACGCTGCCTTCCTAGACGCCCTACAACTCTTTCTGGCCATCACTTCACAGACCCCCTCACCATGGTGCCCTCTGAGTGGCAGGCCTAGAGGTGGCTAAGGCGTGTGTGTGACAAAGGCCAGGGCTTTGCTGCAGCAGACCCCATTGAGCGCACTTTTTACCTGGTGCCTTTTGGAAGCTCCTGGACAGTGTGTACCATCTCTGGGGGATTCTGACCACCTTTGGGTCTATTGCCGTTCTTCTAGGGGACAGGCAGAAGGAGAGAAGAGGTTCAGAGGGGCTTGGTGGTGGTAAGGAAAAGTCCCCCATGGCCTCAGGGCTTACCTCAAGCATGCTGGGTAGGAACAGAAAGGGCTGCATCCCAGGTGGAGGAGGTCCGAGAAAGATGTCCACAAACTCAGCACAGCCTTGTTCCACTCGCTGACAGACTGCAGGACAGCAGGATTCATATCTCCTTGCTGAGCGGGTTTGCCCAGAAAAATAAAGCAAAGAAAGGCCCTTTGAACCCTGAGCAAAGGGAGCATTTTCCTGTCACCAGGTGAGTGGGCAAGAGGCAAGAGGTGGAGCCTGGCTGGGAATGAACTTTTGTCCTGGGTATTCTTCTGAGCCAGTTCAAGAGAGAGAGAAATACAGACAGAGAAGGATAGAGAAAGAGTATGGATATAGCAGTGGATATGCAGGTGGGGTAGCATGAACATAGCACTGCAAACAGAGGAGTACAGACCAGACAGTGTGAGCAGCCAGTGTGAGCAGCCAGTGTGAGCAGCCAGTGTGAGCAGCTTGTGTGAGCAGCTTGTGTGAGCAGCCAGTGTGAGCAGCCTGTATGAGCAGCCAGTGTGAGCAGCCAGTGTGAGCAGCTTGTGTGAGCAGCTTGTGTGAGCAGCCTGTGTGAGCAGCCTGTGTGAGCAGCCTGTGTGAGCAGCCTGTGTGAGCAGCCAGTGTGAGCAGCCAGTGTGAGCAGCCTGTGTGAGCAGGTATGGGCAGGTCAGAGTGGGCAGGTTAGTATGGATAGGACAGTATGGGCAGAGCACTGTGGTAGTATGTGATATGGACAGTGTGGACAGGACAGTATGGGCAGAATATTGTCCACTAGGGAGTGTGGATGGAGGAGTATGCACCAGGCAATGTACACAGAACAACCTGGACACAGCAGTGTAGACAAGGCAACCAAGCAGACCAAGCGGCATGGATGGGACAAGTGTGGACCGGGCAGTGTGGACAGAGAGGGGCATAGCAGGCAGTGTGGACACGGCACTGTGGGCAGGGCTGAGTGTCCAGTATAGGCAGTGTGTAACATGGACTTGGGCTTGTCTGGGGTTTACAGCAATCAGCAGGCCCTGCCTGATGACCAGGAGGGCTAGTTCTTCAGCCAGACCAGCAGAGGCACTTGGCTCTCCGGACCCAAGCCACACAGACCACACTTTGGCCTCTTTTCAGCACAATGTAAGATGGGAAACTTGACCCATCAGGCCCCAACCACAGCAGGTTGGGGTACAGGAACTTCTTGTAACCATTAGCCCCTGCCTGGGCAACAGCCCCAAAAGGCTCAGAGGATGGGCCCCCATAGACCCTTGCCCATACTGGCTCCTTCTCCTTCCTCTTTCAGGATCCCAAGGTGGGGGTGGGGGTGGGAATTGGGCATCTTCCTCTGCCTCTACTCCACTCACAGGTAGAGCTGCAATTCTGGAACCTTCTGTCTCTCTTACAGTTAGCGGCTTAGCCCAAATGGTGAGTTCCAGCGCTAGGTTGGTTCGGGGCTCCTGGTCCTTCCCAAATACATGTGCACACCACAGCCTACTTTCTGTAAGACCAAGCTCCAGGGTGCTCCCAATGGCCCTTGACCTGAGGGTCCCTTATTGGGAAAGAGACATAAGCCCCTTGAGAGCCAGAGGACGAGGGAGTTCTAAAGGGAGAGGCTCTGACTAGAGCAGCAGCCTCAGATTATGAGCTGAAGAGGTGGTTGGGCATTTCACAAAAGAGTAACAGCAAAGGCTGGAAGACAAAGGCTGGGTAGAACAGAGGGCAGTACTTGGGTGGGGTCCTGGAAGAGGGGTCCAGTCTGGATCAGCATCTTTAGGGGTGGTGAGATGTCCCAGGACAATGTCTCTTCAGGGAAAAGGGTCCTTCAGGTGGGACCCCCGGTCCATGCTCAGCTCTTGGGGTTGGCTCCCTTGATGGGACTGGGATGAGTGGAGGAGTGTCTTTCATCTGTGTGCTAGATGGGGTCCTGGGGCCAGAGGCATTAATGTCCCTTCCCCAGAGTCCAAGTTTGCAGCAGCTGGGCCTCTGAAGTATCTCCAAATTACAGGTGGGAGAATTATTTCTCTCAGAGGTGTATTAATTTTGTCTTATGGTGCATTAATAAAACCTTTTTCTTATGCAAGGACATTCCTTAGCCAGTGTCCTTCCCCGCAGCTCTGTGCCCTGCACCGCTGATGTCCTGGGCAATGACTAGGAACAGCAATGCTGACAACATGGTTTTCAGCTCTGCACACTGATGGGCCGTGTGGACCATGGCCATCAGCTCTGCCACCTCCTTTAAGTACAACTTTTGGCATTATGATGCCAGCTCTGTTTTTGTCTCTCAGAGGCTTGTGCCCAGGCAGGGTGACTGCTGGATGGCCCCTAACTGGGAACACTGACAACTCTAGGCCTGCACCATAACATTACTTTAGGCCACGACTTGCCACGTACCAATTCCAGGAAGTGAAGTAGGTAAAAGACCCAGCAAGAATTTCTGATGAGCAAATAAACCTATCTAGACCAAGGCTATGAGTGTCTGCCTCCCTCAGGCTGGGAGGTTCTGGCCACACTGTTAAAGGACTTCTCCAGAAATCACCACAGCTGGCAGCTACGGAGCATCTGCTTGGTGCCATCTGTGGTCATATCTGGTGACCTCATGTAATAAAGGCTGTCACTGCTACCATGTGGTTGCTGAAAAATGGACATCCACACAAGGTAAATGGGAGCCACAATGACAACATATGACATTCACATTGCTGATACTAACCAGGCTGCTTCATGGGAAAAATGGCATGGAATACTGGGAACCTGGAAGCCTGGTTCCTCCGTTCACACAGGACTGACACTTGAGGCCATCTGTATATGTGGCAGACCTTCCCCCATCCCAAGAATGAGGCTGTCTGGCTGACCACAACCCTTGTCATTTCAAGTAAGAGAAATCTTCACTTCTCACCTTTGCCTCTTGTTCCCCATGGCCTAACAGACTGCTCACTCAGCAGGCCTGTGCTCTGCAGGGATGGTGTCCAGACAGGCCACACAAGGTCATCAGCTGCCTCTCCTATACCAGCCCTGTGTGTATCTGGTCAGAGCTCTTAGGGGAGGGAGACTCATGACCAGGGAATGGGCTAGAGGCACCCACAAGCATGTGGCTTCCCTAGAGGAAAGGGGTCACTCAAAAGGCTCGCCAGCTGGAGGAGGCCCTGCTGGCTGCTCTTACTAGAATCATGAGGTGAAGTTGACTCACAGTACTACCATCCAGGAACAGATATACTCCTGTCCATGGCTTCTCCACAGCAGATGAAGATCCGGGTTTCATGAGTAAACAGTTCGTACCCTCTATACCCTGGCTTCAGGGTAACTGTCAGCTCTTCTACCCCATCATCACTGGCTACTGCTTATGCCCACACCATGCCAGGTCCCACTGCTGGCACCCCTGGTATAAGCTGGCCTCTGTTCTTCTGCTCATACCCCCTCTCACTTCTCACAGAGGTAGCTAAGTGTCACGTTCATCCAGAGGAGCCCCAACTTCTGACTCAAGCACAGATGCACAGCTTTCCTGCTATACCCACAGCTGTCCCCGGGATATCCACACACTGCAGCCAAAGGCACTTGGGCCCCCACTACAATCCCCCTCCTCCCCCTTACAGACAGATATCCTTTCTCCAACAAGTTACTCCTACTCCTCTCATTATTCTACTCCCAGGAGCAGGTCTATAGCCCCATCCTTGAGTCCAGCCTACTACTGTCTGCAGTGGGATATCTATGATGGTCCTAGATGTCACCAATCTGCCCTCACCCGAGCATAAAACTGGTTCAGCGCATTGGTGAGACCCTGTGACGGTTGCCCTGAACTTCCAAGGGTTTTGTCTGCCTTGTGGGGCACAAGTAAAACCTCTAGGCAGAGGCCACAGAATGGATCCCATTTTCTGTCTCATGTTCTCAGCTCTGCCAAGGTGACAGGGCAGCCCCTCCCCTGCTCTACACGCTCAGCACTCTGACTGAGCCCTTCTCCTCTGCGCCCTGCTGCTATTCATTCTTCAGACGAGCCTGGAATCTCTCTCACCAGCTGCCTCTCATGACCCGAGAGCCATTTGTCCCCTTTCCCTGTCACCCTGCCGTCCTACGCCTACTGCTACGGACGGCCCCTGGAGAGGTCATGACCAGTTTTGCCCCTGCTGCCATGAATCTCAATGGCTGTGGTGCATCTGACCTCCTGCTCGGTTCACCCTGGGGCACTGTTCTCACCGTGCCCACCCTGTCTGCAAACTGGGTCCTATTAGGGCAAACCATAAGAGAGAGAAGGCTAACGACGGCAAGAGCCTCGTAAAGGCTTAAGATCTTACTGCCTGGGAGAGATAAGCCACAGAGCTACTATCAGATGGGGGCAGTGCTGTCAACAGCACTGTGTCTTCCAGCCACTGCCAGCCTGGGGGGCACTTCCAATGCCTGAAGGAGAGAGGCATTCTAACACTACACATTACCCCACACCATCTCTGCAGGAGGGAACCACCCCTGATGGTGCTGGTGGTGCTGGTGGTGCTGGTGGTGCTGGTGGTGCTGGTGGTGCTGGTGGTGGTGGGTCCTGGTGGTGGTGGGTGCTGGTGGTGGTAGTGGCGGCGGTGGTGGTGGGGTGCTCCCACCTTCACCAGTTCTAGGGCAGGGACTTTGCAGCAGGTAGTGTCCACAGTAGCTACCAAGTGCTCTGTGGTTATTCTTGGTGCATTTTTTGGGAGGCTCTCCTGCCCTAGTAGCTACGTTTGCTACCTCCCCCAACCAAGAGGCCCAGGAACAGGACTCTTAATCTCTGGGAACCAACCCTAAAGCCTATGTCAGTGCTGATGGCAATTATGGTTTTATCAGCAAGATAAAGGTTGCTGGGCCACCTCAGGGAAGGAGGCTCTGGAGATGGGAGGCTCTGCTAGGGATCAGAACGGACAGCCTGACCTCTCTGTGAAGGAAATATCAATTAATTATCTTTTTACAGGCAAACCAATTAGACTCCCTAATCACCTGTGTAGGGCACCGAGGCCGAAGGCGGAGGAACTGCAGGAGTAAACAAACTGAGAGGACTTGCCTTACCGTGAAACAGCCGCCCTGGGCCCAGGACTCGCCAGGAGGAGCACAAGCTGTAGGCTAAAATATTTTCTTTGTTTAAGTGAATTCAAAAAATCAAATGTTACTAGCCCTGAGGGGACAGAATGGACTAGCCTGGAGG